ACCCACACGGGGAGCCACTTCATCTAAAGCGACGCAAACACCCAATTATTTAATTTTTTATTTCTTTGTCTTAGAGGACGTGTCAAGATTTGCCTAGATCCTAAGCCAAGATGAAATCAAACAAAAAAAGGCGACGTGAATTATTGTAAATTATGGCATATATAGATAAATGAATAATGAGATTATAATTCTGTACAAGCTTATTCTGATATTTAGGTGTTTTGATTGGACCTGGAAAGAGAAGTGATTCTGAAGTGAATAATAGGATGAATATCCAAAACTTAATCAGTTCTTAATTCTTTATTGAATGTAATTTTGGAATTGTTTGAACACTGCCGAATTTCAAAAGATATTTTAATTAAAAAAATATTAATTTAAAAAAGTACCACTTTTAACATTTCCCCGCCACCATGAGCCCTGCTTTTATAGTGTTGCCGAATGCTGGATGTCACTTCCAGCGGTGTATTTGTATATCTTCCGGAATTTCTTCATATTATGAAGTGTGTAAATCTGAGAATTTCCGTCATTTCATTTCCATTTTACTATTTGCTTTGTTGCGTCAGTATTGACGGCCACATCACCTGCAGATTTATACAAACGGCAGGACAGGAGGTGGTCACCGCTTGATGGATAATGGCTGGTTGTTCGGGTTGCAGCAGCGCCCTGCTAGACTCTTCTCGACAACCAGCTAAGAGTGTGGGAGTCCGACGGTGAAGTAACTTATCAAATTTAAAATTATATAATGAGGAGCTTCATAAATTTACTCTTCACCAAATAGGGTGTTATGATTAAGTATGATAAAACCAAGAAAAAACGAGCAGCACGGAGCTTATAACGCATAAGTGGGGAGGTAGAAACATACAGTATTTCAGTGGATAAATCTGAATATACCTGAGAGACATGGAAGAGGGTGTGAACTGAATGAAATGATCTGAGGATAATGGAAAGTGGTGGGCGCTTATGAACACAGTAATGAAACTTTGGATTTCATGAAAGGATGAGAATTTCCTCACAGTCTCAGCGACTAACAGCTCTGCTGTATGGAGTCAATTATATCACACGTGTTTTAAAGTTCTTTTGGGACCTAGCAAGTTACAGGTACAAAAATTATGGTATTTTTAATACTGGAGAATATTGACGACGTAAATGAATAATAAGAATAAAAAATATATTTTTTAACCAAAAAATAAAATTTTCACCGATAGGGTCTACAGCAACGTTAATACGATAAAATTGAAACGAGAAGAATTTCTTAACAAATCTGTACCTATTCTAATAGGACAATTCTTCTACGAAGAAGTTGCATTGCAACTAAGGAACATTTAAGATGACTTTAAACTTGTTCTCCTGTATAAAGTAAATTACGTACACGATTGATTCAATTATCATCTTTCCACCATAAATAATTCCAAAAATCTGTCTGTAGAAATCTTAAAGTGGCACATATAGGCTGTTTTACGTGTATTTAACTATATGTTTCATCCAAACACAGATTTATCGCTATGAATGAAACCTGTCATAAACTTTTGTATCTGAACTTTCCTTTTAAAAAGTTGCGGTTTACGTCTTTCTTTAGTGCATACCGCTTGAAACGAAATTGTATGGAGCCCTCGTAGTAGGAAATTCTTATTTTCTTTTCCCGGTATAATCTGCGCCACATGTATTAGTATGGCTGACCCACACTGTGGCCCTATGTCCTCAAGTAATACTAGCCAACGTACCGCACCACCTCCATTTTGTACAAACACTCTACATTGTCATCTTTGGGACCCCAAGGGCTACAGCGAACGAAATGAAGTTATGAATTTTTAAGTTCATCCCCTACGCACCTGCTCAACAATGAACAGTTTTGTGAAGCTGGGGAGTAGAATTGAGAGAGAAGTGAAGATGAAGAGTGGGAGAAGGAAATGGAAAACAAACTTTATTCATTCTCCGTCTGTCTTTTTCACTCCATCTTCCTGTGTCGTTTGTCATCAGAAAGTGATGCATGACTGAGGCTGTTTGCTTTTTGGTATGCGTATGGAGACACATGTGACCCCCGGAGTGTTTAAAATTAATAGAAGAGTGGTGGCAGAAAATTGAGCACACAGCAGAGAAAAGCTAAAGCATTTTATTCCACTTTTGTAGTAGAATTTGTCCACTTCCGTTCAAAAATATTAATTTACTTTATACGTATTTGGTACTGAAAAAACGGAAAGTCAGAGAAATACGGCATCAATTACTTTACAATAGAGTCGTGGTATCTTCAAAGAAACCTTCCCAGTTTCAACATTTTACCTTCTATGGTAGCAGGCGTACCTCAAACAAACAATTTTCGTGACACGTTGTGAAGTACATCCACCATTTCAGATATTCTGCAGAATGTTCCTGTGAAGCGAATAATATATAAAGACAAGTAAAAATTTAAAGAACTTTTATTCCGCCTGAAAAGTGAAGTCGGCATCACTAGAAAACAAAAGATTAGCATGTTTATAAAAAACCTAATTATTTTCGCTAGTGTGTCTATAAAGTCCATTTCGTTATTAGTACGATCAGAATTAAAAAGAGTTGACCTAAAGACCACTATTGGATACAGAATTGGCCTCGCACTATATGGCAGACACACTGAGGGTTGCCATAACTTTCATTGCATTGTTTGATTAAGTGTTGGTTTGTCCGACTGCGACAGAGTATTTGCGTCATGTCCACATCACTTCCGTGTTTGTGTCAACCTGATGAAGTGCTTAATTTATGTATTTTTGTGCACTAGCATGTAATTACAGTATTCTCAGCAACACTTGAGATTGTGGCTTGTATTTGCTCAACGTAGGAGCTTGTTATAGCCAGTGACGACGCAGTATGCAGTGGCCTCCCTGCATCCTATGATAAGCTCCTTTCTAAAAATGTCACTCATCATTTACCTCGTGTCCAGTTGTCAGCATGAAATCGCAGATAATTACATGAAAATTTCTTCGTCTTCCTCATCTCCCATTTTTGCCTTTATAGCGTCGGGGTTGATTGCTCGGTCCACCTCCATTCCTTCCTATCCCTTGCTAAGAATTTCATCTGCGTTAAACGTTTCCCCTTTGACTGCCCTATGTCTCTAATAGTATCCAAGTAGCTTTTTATAGGTCTTCCTCCTGTTCTGGTACCCTCAACTCTAGCTTCCAAAAACTGTTTCGTCTTTATTTCATCTGCCATTCGAACATGTCCAAACCATTTCAGTTTACATGAAAACAGAAAGCCTAAATACTTTGTGTTCAACCCGGTCGTCAAGGTGTATACAGTAACAGTTACAGTGATAGATTCACAGTTCATCAGTGCAGCTAATGCAGTAGCAATATTAAAACCCAACATCAAAACGAGGAATTGTTGTCATACGACTGGGTGGTTGCTTGTCTGGGCAACAGTCCGTGTGCTGCAGACACAAAGGATCTAGCAGATAACGGGAAGGGAGTAAATTGAAAGAAACAAAAATCTAAAATTTTAAAAAAAATCACAAAGTGCTGGAAATTGTCCAAATGGCGCACAAAACCAAAATTTTTTGAGAATTTTCAATTTCAAATTTTTTTCAGAAATTTCGAAAAATTTTGGTCTTGTGCGCTTTTTAAACAATTTCCAGCATTTTATGACTTTTCGGAAATTTTGAAAATTTTCAAAATTTTTCCGACCCGAACTTCAGCAGAACAGTCAGCTAGTGTCTGGACGTCAATGCACGGTCTCTGCTAGACCCGGACTCTGCCGCACACAGACTCTGCAGGAGACGGTCTCTCCATCACACGTTCACTGACGGACGCAGTCTCTGCCTCACCACAACACGTCTCTGCTAGCTCTGTCTTGCCACATCCGGTCTCTTCTAGACTCGGACTCGGCCGCACACAGACTCTGCAAGAGACGGTCTCTCCATCACACGTTCACTGACGGTCGCAGTCTCTGCCTCACCACAACACGTTTGTGCTAGCCTCTGTCTTGCCACATCCGGTCTCTTCTAGACCCGGACTCCGTCTCACACAGACTCAGCAAGACAGGGGCTCTGCATCATCCGCTCTCTGCCTCATGCAGTCACTGTATCACCCGTTCGCTTCCGGTCTAGATCCTTGCAGGCGATAAGTCAGACATGTTAATACATAGATACAATCGTTCAGAAACCGATTAAAGTAGGCAATTCGTTCATCAGAGTGAGTATCTTTCAGAGTCCATGTGCGGCAGACACCGGTTCTAGCAGATAACGGGAGCGAAGTATTTTGAGAAAAATTTCGTAATATAGAAAACTTTTAAAAAATCAAAAAAATGCTGCAAATTGAACAAATGGCGCACAATATCAATTTTTTTTTGGAATTTCTAAATTAATTTTTTTTTCGAAAATTCTCAAAAAAAATTGTTTTGTGCGACATTAGACGATTTCCAGCATTTTTTGATTTCTTACAATTTTGAAATTTTTCAAAATTCTACCACCTCATGCCTTGCAAAACCGGTCTCTGTCGGAGATCAGGATCCTGAAGGGGCCGGTTGGTGCAAACACCGAGGCAGGCAGCAACTGGGTTAGATAGAGGCAGAGTCCGGCAG